TTTTGTATTTTTTTTAGTAGAGACGGGGTTTCACCATGTTAGCCAGGATGGTCTCGATCTCCTGACCTCGTGATCCGCCCGTCTCGGCCTCCCAAAGTGCAGGGATTACAGGCGTGAGCCACCGTGCCCGGCCGGATTGTTGTAACTCTAATGGAATTTCATAGCAGGAGGCTTGAGAGGGGACAGTGAAAATTCAGAAACCGAAGGAAAGCCTGTCTTCCTGGTATTTGTTGGCTACTCCCTTGAATTATGGTCAGGTAGGATTAGCAAGGGGCTTAGGTCTGTCTGCCTGTGACAAGAGTTTTCGTGGATACTGAACATTTTTGCAAAAAGTGATTTTACCTTGTCAGTGGTTCCAGTGCTCCACTGTCCTCCATGGTGACAGCACACTGCCAGAGGAAAAGAACAGTGAGAGTGTTGTTTCATGGTACTAATCCGTGTTTCCTTCGGGTCTCTGGCAGACTCTGTGTTGATCCAGACGCTGGCTGAGATGACCCCAGGAATGTTCCTTGACCTAGTGGTGCAGGAGGTATTGGAAGATGGCTCTGTGGTATTCAGTGGGGGTCCGGTGCCCGACCTGGTCCTGAGAGCCAGCAGATACCATCGCGCGGGTGAGTGCTTCTGTCTTACCCATTGTGGTTGGTGGGAGGACCCTTTGCCCATTGCTCCCTCTCCTGGATATAGAATTTCTAAATACTTAGGGTAGATGAGTTGATTCCGTAGAGATTTTTCGCATGCCTACCTTGAGTGAATGCAGAGGCTTAGGTACGAATCCTTTAATTGTTACAATAGGGTAAATCTAGATTTTTATATATTAGGTTACGTAAATTAAGGCCCACCTGAGCTTGAACTATGGGCGATAGACCCTTGGTTTCCCTAATTATGGCCCGCATGGACCCAGGACGTGTGTCCTCTCTGCTTTCTTGGATCTAAGGGGTAGCAACTACACGTGAGAGGTGCTGCTCTCCCTTCACCCTGTTCCAGAAGGATAATCACACTGTGGTTCTGCACTGCAGGGCAGGAGGTGGAATCTGGGCAGAAAAAAAAGGTTGTGATCTTAAATGTTGATCTTTTGAAGTTGGAAGTGCATGTTTCCCTTCACCAGGACTTGGTGAATAGAAAAGCTAAAAAGGTAAGCTTGCTTCTGACTTCCATTTTCGTGGTTTCACATGATGTACCCTTCAACCCCACACTTCCAGTTCAGGAATTCCAACTCAGATGCCTGTAGTGAGGGTAGCCCTATGTCTGGATGGATCCAGGACACCCCCGGTTTAGACCTCTCATCCTGGTGTGGTTCATAGTGCTGATTTCTATTCTGGTTCTGGTGATAAGTTACATGGGCACTCCATCTTTAGGGCCAAACAAATAAATAGTGCAGGTGTGGAGCTGGCTGTGTGGGTAGGGAGTGGCTGGCCTGGGACTCTGACAAGCTCGGGAGTGCATGCCCAGCCCGCATGGGGCTGAGACTGTTCAGTCCTGCCCAATTGTTGCCAGGTGGGAATATCTGGGGCTACTGCTGCTTGATTTTTAAGAGAAGGCAGAATTTGGATTTTTATTTGAAATAAAAGCTGAAAATGTTGGAAACTTATTTTTTTAAAATAAGTTTGGCATGAGCCGAACAGCATGTCTGTGGGCAGTTCAGATCTCCAGGCTGTGCGTCCACACCCTCATCTGCCTTGTCTTCTGGACACTTGTGTGTGACATAAGAATGGGTTTGAGGGAAATCTCAAAATTATTATTTTTCTCTGGGTGATGAATATATTTGATTATTGTCTAAAGCACTTATTAGGCACCTAGTTGCATAGAGTATGGTGCAGTATAGATACAATCCTTAATTTCTAGTTGCTTACAGTATTAATAGTTTAGAACAGACAGAGAGAGAATGGAGAGCAATACTAACCTCTCATTCAGTTTTCTAGCAGGACCCTGTACCGTTTTATCACCTGAGGGAAACGGGCATACAAGAGCATGAGCACAATTTGGATTCTGAGGAAAGAGAGGTTAGGTGCCTTGCACACAATAAGCTCTCAGTAATGACTCTATTCATTGCTTGGGTGGAAGAGTGATTAAATTGGGGATGGGGAGCTGCAGGACAGAGTCAGGAACCACAATGTCTATAAGCTGAGAGAGCTGTTAGAGGTTGCAAGACTCTGCATCAGAATTATCTCAATAACTTGTAAAATTCAGATTTAGTAGATCTAGGATAGGGTCTTGCAATTTAAGTTGAAAGCAAAACAAAACCAAGCCAAGGTAATTCAGAGGCAGCCCCATGAGTTTAGTGTACAGGAGAGAAAGCTAGGTCCAGGGAGTGAAGGCTAGTCTGTTCCAGCTCAGACCAGCCTTGGGTTCCCTAGCCTTGGGACCCCAGAGGGTTTCCTTAGCTATACCCTGCCCAGTGGGGCCATGAGTGAGTGACCATGCTGTGTAAACAGGAAAGCAGGGATGGTTGCTTTTCTCTCTTCTAGCTGAGGAAAGGCAGCGAACACCAGGCGATTGTGCAGCACTTGGAGAAGTCGTTTGCCATTGCCTCCTTGGTAGAGACTGGCCACCTGGCAGCTTTCTCCCTTACCTCTCACCTCAACGACACCTTCCGCTTTGACTCAGAGAAGTTGCAGGTGGGACAGGGTGTCTCCCTAACCCTCAAGACCACAGAACCAGGAGTGACCGGCCTTCTTTTGGCTGTGGAGGGGCCGGCTGCCAAGAGGACCATGAGGCCGACCCGGAAGGACTCTGAGACAGTTGATGAGGATGAAGAAGTGGATCCAGCTCTGACTGTAGGAACCGTAAAGAAGCACACCCTCTCCATCGGGGACATGGTGACAGGGACTGTCAAGTCCATTAAGCCCACCCATGTGGTTGTGACTCTGGAAGATGGCATCATTGGCTGTATCCATGCCTCCCACATTCTAGATGATGTTCCAGAGGGCATCTCTCCTACTACCAAACTGAAGGTTGGGAAGACGGTCACTGCCCGAGTGATTGGTGGGCGAGACATGAAGACATTCAAGTATGGAGGCTCGCGGGGGTGGCCTGACTTCGAGGGGAGATTGTTGTTGAGGGAGGACTGGGAAAGTAGGCGGGCTCCAAAAAGTTGCATGTAAGTCAGATTCTCTTTTAGTTAACAAAAGGCATTCACCAAAGAATTGTTTTGCATGATTCTTTTTTTTTTTTTTGAGACGGAGTCTTGCTCTATTGCCCAGACTGGAGTGCAGTGGCATGATCTTGGCTCACTGCAAGCTCCGCCTCCCGGGTTCATGCCATTCTCCTGTCTCAGCCTCCCAAGTAGCTGGGACTACAGGCACCTGCCACCATGTCCGGCTAACTTTTTGTGTTTTTAATAGAGATGGGGTTTCACCGTGTTAGCCAGGATGGTCTC